GGGGGTGCGCGCGCACATAAATACATATGTTACATTTTATTTTATTTTACATTCACCAAAAACAAAACCATTCTAAACAAAAATGGTGTTTAACAACCATGGGGGTCTTGCTGTTGCTACAGGGATGCTCTTTCTGAGCACCTGAAGAAGCAGACCACCTCAAGTAAAATGGGTGGGGGAGTGAAATGTGCACGCTATAAGCATTCAAATCAAATACATGATCCAGTAATTAATGAAACTTTTAAAAATCTATTAAAATCCATACCTGTAGAATCATACAGATGAAACTTTATTTGCAAAATCCCCTGAATGAAAAAAATCTGTATTTTTACAGAAAGTTTAGAGCTCTGTGTTATATGGAATGTCTTAAGACCTTGCTGGTGAAACCCTCATAAGCTGGTTAGCGATGCTGCCGTTTAGGATTTGCTGCAGAAATGGGTGAACAGACTTGTCATCTCAACTTTTGACCTGCATGGCTTGTTTTTTATTCTTTACAGCAGGTTCAATCTTCTCAGCCCTTGGGTTACTCTAGTTCAGCTAAGCCAGAAAAATAACTTTGTCGTAATCAGAATGTTGATCGAATTGTATATTGTTTACTTTATTGAAAATACTGGTGGACAATGGTCATCAATTAATAGGTTTATATTCCCTTTAAAAATAAGTAAAGCAAGATTGTCCATTATTTTATAGTCTCAGAGATTGCTATAGATTTGATTTACTGGAAACTTAAGGTCAGGAACCCAATTAAAGGACTTTCTGTGAAAAATTTCAGGAATGAGGCCAGATGTCATATCTCAAAATTGTAACAGGGTAGAAAAAGATTTGGATGGAGTATTTTAATAACTAAAGACAAGTTGAAAATCTATGTGGGAATGTCAATAAAGATGACAGAAGGACACTTGTGTCAATGCAGTGTTCTCTGAATTGGGGAGCAGAATCCAGAACACACTGCAAAGAAATAAACCTAGAGTAAGAAATTTCTTCCTTTGGCGATATTATTATTAAAATTCACCCACTTTGCAGCACTGTGCGCCAAAGAAAATCCATTAGTAGGTCCAAACAGGAAGAAGTCAAAGGTCTGGATGAAGGTAACATTTTAAAAACTGAGAGATACCTGGTTCATTCAGTAGCAGCCACAGGATTTTCAGCTACATGTGTCACCACTGCATTTACGTGAGTTCTCATTAGTTTGCTCATATTTGCAGAAGAAGCCGCATTGCTTTCAGTTATCCCAGGTTAAGATGGCCATTAAGGTTTCTAGTATTTCACTTGAAAAATTGCAATGCCAACTGAAAACACTAACAATAGCCTAAGTATTTTATGTTGGATATTTTCCTATCTACCTATCTTATCTGCTTGTGCTGTGTGTGTGGTTTATGTTTGCCTTCTTTCCACTATTGAGCCGATGCTATCCTGGGGGCTGCTTCCTCTTTGTCGCCCTACGGGTGGAGTTGTTCTATGTGATGGTCTCTTATTTGCCCTCGGTGAGTCTTGATCTTCTGCCCATACTGGATCGGCAAGGATCTTTTGTAGGGCTGGGTTTCTTTTTATGTATTCTTTGAGGTTGTCCTTGTCTGGGAAGACTCTTACTTCATCATCTATCTTAATAGATAATTTGGCTGGGTAAAGTATTCTTGGGTTTGCGTTGTTTTCCTTCAATTTTTGGAATACGTTACTCCATTCCCTCCTCTTCATCGTTTCCGCTGATAGGTCTGAACATACTCTTACTGGGGTACCTTTATACATGAGTATTTGCTTTTCCCTAGCTGCTTTTATGATCTTCTCCTTTTCCTCATAGTTGGATAATTTGACAATTATGTGTCTTGGTGACTTCTTGGGATTCAGTCTGGCTGGTGTTCTTTCAGCCTCTTGAATGGTTGCCTGATTTTCATTTATTAACCTGGGGAAGTTTTCCTCTAAGAATTCCCTTGCTATTTTTGCTGTTGACTTCTTAGTTGGGTCTTGTTCTGGTAGCCCGATTATTCTAAAATTGTTTCTTTTTATAGCATCAGACATGGCCCTCAAGTTTTCTTCAGCTAACTTGACTGTCTTATTTGACGGCTTTTCCCGTTTGCTGTGGTCTGTTTGGTTCTGTTAATGAACATTTCATTTACTATTTCAAACATCCCTTTTTAAAATTGTTTATTCAATGTCACATAATCCCCCTTAATCCTAACCTAACCTTGATTCGTCTTTGCTCCCCCAACTTCCACTTCATGAAAGTTAAATTCAGTCAGTGCCTTGTTCAGCATCTGCTTTATCCCTCCACTCTCTTCCACCTGTTATGGACAGTTAATGTCCAACCACTTCATATTTGTTGTGCCTCTTTCATTTGTATAATCCTATCCTTTCCTGCACTGTTGTGCTAGATTAAATACTTTATTGGCTGGCTTCTAGAGTACAATAGTACTATCCCCATCTTGTCTTGTGATTCTATTCTTTCCCCTGTAATTTATTCTAGCCTGTAAACCTTAAAAGCTTTTAAACAACTTAAACTTAATGAGTTTTCAAGCAATACTGAGTGAGTGCATATAAATTCTTGAACAGAAGAAGAGAATTCAGACTCTTGATGTAGGTTTGTTTATGCCTTTCATTATATGGCCTCAATTTGCCCGTGTTAATTAATTAAGATTGTTTTTCTGAAAATTAGAACAACAGTTAATGATGCCTTAAGCACATAGTAGATTTAGAACATGTTTATCACACCTGGAGTCTCATTTGGGGGAAGCCAGCCTAGTAGAGTAACTTTGAAGAATTAAACCTCAAATTTATGGTCATGCTTAAAACATACATCCCAGCATGATATCTTCTCAACCTTTACCTTAACATCTGTGCAAGAAAACAAGTTTGATGGCCCACATAACTGCAAAAAACAAGCCACATCAAATGCACTACCATGAAATTGATTCTGACTTATAACGGCCATAAACACCAGGGTAGAACTGCCCCTCCGGGTTCCCAAGACAGGGCACATTTACAGGGATAGAATGCCTGATCCTTCTGCAGAGGTACTGGTTGTTTAGAATTGCTGACTTTGCAGTTAGCAGCACAATGAGTAACCCACTAGGCCACCAGAGCTCCTTAATAAATGCAGAAGACACAGGGGGTAAAGTTTATGAGAAAGGAATAGGAAATAAAGATTGGTTCAACTAATCTACATTCTCCAAAGTATCATACACTAGTTTACTTATACAAAACTACATGCTTCTGTTTCTAACTTGGCTTTTAACTCGCTGCCATAGACTAGATGCTAACTATAGTGCCTCTATAGGACAGGATATAGCTGCCCTTGTGGATTTCATGTCTTTCTCCCGCAGAGGGGCTGGTGGTTTCGAACTGCTCACCTGTCTGATCACAGACCAATGTGTAACCAACACACCACCAGGCCATCTTAACTTTAGACCACCCTTAGTTATTTTGGATTCACTGTCATTAAATATACCGAAAAACTAATTTGCTGACACTGTTTCAAATTATTCCTAGGAAGAGCATAATCAACAGTCTTCATTTACTGTTGAAAATTTGGTGAACACTGCAAATGACCTGTTTGGAGCTGGGACAGAGACGACAAGCACCACCCTGAGATATGGTCTCCTGCTGCTGATGAAGCACCCGGAGGTCGCAGGTAACGACCACAGATGATTGGCAAGGAGAACCCAGGAAGAGAGAGGGCAGTGCTGACACAGCCAGGGTTTTGCATCTTATTTCTGTTAGAGACAGTTTATTTCGTGTATTCTGTTCTACCGGTTATAATTTATGCGAATTTGACGAAGTGATAAGGAGACAATTCTGCATCCTAAGGGATGATGACGGAGAGAAGAGAAGGACATGGTGGGCGATGGGAAATGTGATACAGCTCCGTGGATGCTGAGCTCCCTCAGGAGAGGGTGTGGGGCAGGAAAGAGTCAGGAAGACTGCTGGGGACCAGGCACAGAAAGTTCCACTTCAGAATTCACTGAGTGGATAAAGCATTTGTGCGGAAAGGCACCAAGAACCAAAGGGAAGGGATTGGATACCTGAGGTTTCCAACTAGATAGAAAATGATTAGCATCAGTTTTAGATACATACCCAAATCTCTGACCATCATTCTAAACGTGTATCTAATAAATTTTTAAAATAAAGAGTAAGTTGAATATTTGAATGTATCAAAAATTAAATACAAACATAATAGTCTTAAGAGAATATTTATGCAGCCATAATGATATGTAAACGGAGTACTGATAACTGAAAATTGTGATATAAATCCATTTTTATATATGAGGGAAATGTTGTATGAGTATGTGCGTATGTATTTGTATGTGTGAGTGCGCATGCACATGTGTGTGTTAGTATGAGGATGAGGTGAACATGCAAATTACCATCTGTCATACCAAGTACTCAGTAGATTTTGTATAATAATGAGTAAATTAGGAAATAAGGTCATTATTTTGAACTATGAACATAAAATTCAGACCATACAATCAGAATGGTTCAGTGACTACCTTTCAGGAAGAAGGAGAAAGGGTCCTACTGGAAATTGCACAGAAACACCCACCCACATACAAACCTATAGAGAGAGATGTCAGCAGCATTAATATTTAAAACCCCTTAAGTTGAAACTACCTAAGTACTCATTAACGAATAGACAAACTGTGATACATGCATAGAGTGGAATACGACGATAAAAAATAAGGACGATTCAAAAAAATCTGAACATGAATGAATTTGGAGGAGATTATGGTGCATGAAGTAAGACAATCAAAAATGAACAAACATTAGAAGAGACACTATTTTGTTTTTAAGAAAGCATTTACACACTGAAAAACTTATTTGAGGAATGGGAGACAGAGATGAATTGCTAATTAGATAGAACACATCCATTAATATAGATGATGAGAAAGGCCATATATAATATGGGGAAACAGCACAACATGACTATGTCAGGCTGGGTTCTCTAGAGATGTAACAGCAATGACACCTACGTGCATATGTGTATACCAAGAGCTTTATATTAAGAAATGGCTCACACAGTTGTAGATATGGACAAGTTCATTGCAATTCAATTCTGGTTTTCTCCCGACTTGTATAGCTGCGATGGCTATCAAACTAGGACGCAGTAAGGTGAAGCGGGAAGACCATAGGTGGTACATGCAGATTCACATGAATAGAAGCTCAGCAGTTCAGTGATGGACCAGCCAAGTTAACACAAGACCCAACTATCACAGTAACAACAGCAAAGGAGTACACGGATAAAACCACAATAATAAGGGGTAACTCTGGTAAATATTACAACTTAGACAATTCTGCAATAGTATTAACATGCATTCATTTACAATTAAATACATATTGTTAGATGCCATTGAGTCTGTTCCAACCCATAGCTGCCCTAAGCACAACAGATTGAAATTGTTCCAACCCATAGCTGCCCTAAGCACAACAGATTGAAATTGTTCCTGTGCTTGAGCCCATTGTTGCAGCCTCTATGTCGATCCATCTCCTTGAAGTTCTTCCTCTTTTTGGTTGCCCCTCAACCTTATCAAGCATGATGCCCTTCTCCAGGGACTGGTCTCTCCTGACACCATGTCCAAACAACGTACAATGAAGCCTCACCCTCCTTGCCCCAAAGGAGCACTCCGGGCATAGTTCAGATTTGTTCGTCCTGTGGCAGTCCTCGGTGCTTTCAATACTCTTGTCCAGCACCCGATTCAAATGAAGTGATTCTTCTTCGGTCTTCCTTATTCAATGTCCAAGTTTCACATGCATCTGAGTCCAAATAAATACATAGATAGATATTCTCTAGAGGTGTGGGAGCAAGGAAACACAGCCACCTGTGGATATATATTTAGTTGTGGCTGTTTTTACCTATAGGTGCTGCATGAATTCTTAGAGAGCACACGAGGGGCACAGTCATGGAAACTTCTTAGACATAACCTTAATATGGGATGGGCTGAAGTTCCTCGGCACGAAGTTCAAGATCATAAACGTAGAGGATAGCCATATCAACTGGCACGGCATAGTTCATGAAGACAATGCTCTGTATCCTACTTTGGTGAGTAGTGTCGGGAAGTTTAAGAGCTTGTGAGCAACAATCTAAGTTACAACTATTGGCCTCATTCCATCTGAAGCAAAGGACAGTCAAGAAAATCAATGACTTATGGGAATAGCTAGTCCAAAGGACTAATGAACCATATGAATCATAGCTTACAGGACCCACAACCAGAACTAAATGGTTCTGGCTACCACTACTGAACACCTTTAATGGGCTCACCACAGAGAGTCCCAGATAGAATGGGAGAATACTGCAGGGGAAAAAATGAAATTCACAAAAGTCCAGACTTACTGCTCTGACAGAGACTGGGGAAGTCCAAGATTATGGACCTAAGACACTCTTCCAACCTGGAATTGAAGCCATTCCCAGAAACAACCTTTCAGCCACAGAATACACAGGCCCATCAAATAAACAAAACATCTGTGGGAAACATGTTTCTTAGAATAATCAAGTGTCTGAGCTCCAGAGTACAGCATCTGCTCCAACGCAAACACGAAAAGACAGAGATCCTTGCAAAAGGAAATAGTGAACCGCGGGCAGGGATGGGCAGTGTGCTGACAGTTGTGGGAAATGTAATCAGTGTATCAAATGGGAAACTGATTTTCTTTATAAATGGTCACATAAAGCACAAGTGAAAATAAATACACACGTGAAATAAAATATCATATACACATATTAATGAGAGTTAGTATGATATTTGATTCCTGATTTTCCCTCTGCCTTGGCAGAATGTCTTGAGTTATTTATGTGCTACTTTCTCTTTTATCACTTATCTTTGTTTCAGTTACCCTGTAGACTAATATAAATATACATAGAAATGTATGCTAATGTTTGGCTTGTGAAAGAGTTGTATGAGTGTGTTGTTAATTGCTGTTGTGTTGCCGCTGACTCAAGGATACCTCATGTGCAAAAAAATGAGATGTTACCCAACCCTGTGGCATTGCATAATTATTGGAATATTTGAGTCCAATGTTCCAGCTACTGTGTATGTACAGTATTTTACAACCTTACATCTAGTATCTTTCAATCTAGGGACTCATCTTCCAGCACTGTAACGATTAATATATTGTTATGATCCATAGGGTTTTCATTGGATAATATTCAAAAGTAGATAACCAGACCATCTCTCCTATTTTGTTTTAGTCTGGAAGTTTCACTGGACCCATGGATGACCTTGTTGGTATTTGAAATATTGCTGACATAGCTTCCAGCATCATGCAACACAAAACCCATCACAGTACAACAAACTGCCAAATGGGTGGTGGTATATTGTCTATTTGTATAGCAACTCCATATATGTCTATGGATACCTTGGGCATATAGTTTATGTTTAGAGTGATGTTGGGCTAATTCCAGAATGCTTTACGTAACCCCAACCTGCTATGGCAAATGTGACGTTTTTCTTCTGATAATCTGTTCTTACTTCTGTCTTTTCAGCTAAAGTGCAGGAAGAGATTGATCGTGTGGTTGGCCGACACAAGAGGCCTAGCATGCAAGACAGAGGCAGGATGCCCTACACAAATGCCGTGTTGCATGAGATGCAGAGAATCGTTGACATTGTGCCCATGAACCTGCCCCATGCTGTGAACCATGGCATTCAGTTCAGAAACTACTTCATCCCCAAGGTACGTTTTGTTTTTCCCCAAGAACACCTCACTCTTCTTAAAGTCCCTGTATTAACAGTAAGATTCCGACCTTCTACCAACACAAGATGAGAAAAGCATAAAAGAGGAGTGAATTAACGGCTTTTGTGTTGTTTACAGTTTGAGCCCATAAAGCTTTGCAACTTCTTCCAAATTTGTTAGGCTTCTTTTTGGTTGTTTTAAGTAATTTTAGCTGTTTACACTCCAAATAAATTTTAGTAGCAGTCTGTCAAATTCTCAAAACATTTTTCTGGATATACGATAAGGGGTGACCAACACTATAGTTACCAAAAAGAGGACTTGGAAATGTGCACAAGAATTATAGGTAATAAAGATAAATACTATTACACACACAATCCTGCATTCTAAAAAAAATAAAAAAGCAATTATCTACAAGTTGATACCAAGACAGACAAACAAGTTGAACAGGTATGAGTAGTCAAAAGAGACTGTATTCTTGACCATCTACAGATTAGACAGATATTATGTCTCAATATACGAAGGGGCTTCAAGAAGTTCATAGAAAAATGGAATTAGAAGAGAATCTAATTTTTCCATAAACTTTATGAAGTACCTTTATATTTGTAGGTGCAGTAAACATATCCATGGTTACAACAGAGCAAACAAAGTGCAAATGGATGTAAATTTCTGAACCATAACCAAACACCAGGAGAGTGAATTGTAGAATGGAAAACCAGTTTGCTCTGTAAACCTTAACTCAAATCACAATAAAAAGTTAAATCTCTCTCTCTTTCTCTCCTGGGATTAGAGTGGCATTACATATACAGATTAGTTTAGATAGACTTGACATTTTGGTATGTTGAATTCTTCAATTCATGAATATGGTATATACTCGCAATCTATTTGAGCTTTCCATGTATTGTTTCCCTGTCCCCCACCACACCCCAATAGTGCTTTCTTTCAGTGCAGTACCTAAGGTTTTATTCTGAATAATATTATTGTGGCATGATAAGCTGCTCCTGGAAAGATTATAGCCTTGGACGACCCATGGGCAACTCTGCTCTATCCTATACAATCACTATGAGTCAGAATCAACCCAACGGCACACACAAAATTGTATAAATTCTAAAATGCCGTTCCTATTTTTTATTCAAGGTGTAAGAAAGTAGAACTGAATTTATTATTTTTATGACTATATCCATCAACCTTGTTAAATTCAACTATCTTTGCAACTGATTTATTTGTGGATTCATTTGGAATGTCTATGTACAAAATCCTGTGATGCTTTTTCTTCAAAATGAAAAAGGCTTAATATAAATTTGGAGCAGTTTCAACTGGTGCTTGTGAAGTTTCTAAGTGTAGCTGTACCACATAAGAAAACTTCAAAAAGTTTGTGGAAAATGAATCTAAAACATAAAAGAATTTTCCCCCGAAATGTTTGGAGCCCCCTAATAAGTCCCACAAGTGCATGGTTTGAAGAACAAAAATTTATTTTTGCAGAATTTATTTCCTGGCGACTGAAAGTCCAAATCATGATGTGGCTCTATGAGGAGGTCCTTATTTGTCTACTTCACTTCTAACAGCAAGCAATTCTTGAGGGTCCTGGGCTTGAATATGCATCTGCCTCCCTTAACATTTTTTGACATCGGCCTTCCCTTTGCATTTCCATGTTTCTGTTTCTATGCTATGCTATGCATATATGTATATATGTATCTATATACATACATATATATATATCTCAGAAGTCATGACATTTAGAATCCATTCTAAACTGTAATTACTCAGCTGATGGATTGCATTACATTACATTGCATTATGGAAGGCAATCTGCTCTAAAGCCAATAGCTTTACTTTCTTGGTGAAATCATAGCAGCCTATGGCCAGGATCACTATACATATTTTGGTGGGACACAATTTAATCCATCACAGTGACCAAAACATGAGAAAACAGAAAAGAACTCATTTATATTACTTATTCATCATGTTTATATGAATATGTTTTGCTAAAGAACTACATGCTTTACTACACAGCTGCCCCACATTCTCTTGGGTGTATCATCAAATCTACAGCATATTTAACATAATCCATTTCCTAAAAGCCAAGTAATTCTGTACTTGGAAATGCTTTGGGCAACAGTCTCACAATGTCTTTGGATCCCATAAGTCTGTACTATTTCAGAATCTAAAATTCTGTTCCACATTTTCTCTCTTTCTATCAGCAGCCATTTATTGTGACCTTGATAATACTTTTCAGTACTGGAAGGCAAAGAAACAACTTCCATGAGGTTATTGGTTATGTCTGAAAATTATGAATAGAATAGTATCGCTTCATGACTTCTTAATGCCATAGTTTATCCTGGGTCTGTTCATTTCAGGGAACAACCATATTAACATCGTTGACTTCTGTGCTGTACGACAGCAAGGAATTCCCGAACCCAGAAGTATTTGATCCTGGCCACTTTCTGGATGAGTGTGGCCAATTTAAGGGCAGCGACTACTTCATGCCTTTCTCAGCAGGTAATAGAAATTATTTGCATCTGTAATTCCTGGCTCAGGAACCTGTATAAAATAAATTGAGACCTCCATAGTGCCTAATCTGGGATTAGTAGAATAGCTCCCAAAGCTCACGTGATTTCCCACTGATGATATGTCATCATTTTGGGACCAAAAGTAGTGCCTCTTGGGGTTGTGATCCAATTCTTCTAAAATGAGCAAGAGAATTTGTTTTCCAGGAACATCACTCAAATACACAAAAGTCCTCCTATGATGTGAATATTGTTTCAACTTGCAGGACCTTTCCTGAGAAAGGTCCCTAGCATCACAATTTCCGTGTCATCTATTGGCCCCCTCACCTCTCGGGCAGAGGTTTTGGAATATAACTATGCATACGTATAAAGCACACAATCGGGGCCTCGCTCTCTCCAGTGAATGGTAAACGGGCCATTGTGATCCTTCATGACTAAATCTGGGCGAGAAGGAATCAGGGCTGTTCAGGGGACCAGTGGGAAGCTACCCACTTCTTGTTTTTTAAATCATTTTATTAGGGGCTCATACAACTCTTATCACACTCCATACATTCAATTATGTAAAGCACATCTGTACATTCATTGCCCTCATCATTCTTAAAACATTCGCTCTCCACCCAAGCCCCTGGCATCAGCTCCTCATTTTTCCTCTCTCTCCCCGTTCCCCCCTCCCTCATGAACCCTTGATAATTTATAAATTATCATTTTGTCATATCGCTACCCACTTCTTGTTCTCACATATCTCACAGTAAAGCGTAAAATGAAATAAACACGATTCCAATAGAAGCAATAAAATATGAACAGCCTCACAGGAGCAAGTAGCAAAGAGAGAAGAAAGGTCAAGGTTTTGGTAGGGTCATGGCAAGCATACATTGAATGAAACATTTACCATTTCAATATTTTATCAGCATAATTAATTGACATTGACTAGATTCACATGTTATATAGCAACCACCAATATCTGTTTCCAAATATTTCCATCGCCCTTAACAGAAAGTCAGTACTCTTAAAGTGAAAGTTTTCTTTACCATTCCTCTCACCCCTGATAACTACTATTAAACTCTGGTGAAGATACACACCTCATCTAGATATCTTGCATCCCTGGGGTCATGTAATATCTGCCATTTTGTGACCAACTTTTCACTCAGCATAATATTCCCAGGGTTCATCCGAGTTGTATCATGTATTGGAACATCATTTCATGCTATAGCAGTGTAATATTAAACTGTACATGGCCTACCATATATTTCTCCACCCATCTATGGTGGACATTTAGTTTGTTTCCCTCATTTGGTTATTGTGAATAATGCTGCCATGATTATTGGTGAACAGATCTCTGTTTACATTTGTTCATTTAATTATTTTGAATATATACTTAGGAATAGAATTATTAGGTCACATGGTAATTCTATGTTTAATGTCCTCAGGAATCTCAAAACTATTATCCATGCTAACTGTATATTTTATTGTACATGTTAACAGTAGATGAGGCTTCCAGTTTTATACATCCTTGCTAACATCTGTTCTTTGCCATTTAAAAACTAATTTATTTTTTAATCATAGCCATATTAGTGGGTGTGAGTGCCATAATCCATATAAGATGGATCTTATCCACATAGCACTCTCTAAGAGAACCTGAGCACCCTGCCAAGCTGACCTGGGCCAGATAAAAATATAGTAAACACCTGATTTCATGGTAACAGCAACTGAAACATATTAACTATACAAACACAACCCCATTTCTCATGGATGAACATGTTTGGGGTTTTTTTCTTCCCTCTTTCCCCTGCACGTATCCTTCACGTAAGCACATAGACTATAACCCCACATCCTGCACTGAGATGCACTGACTTCTACCTAAGTAACTCTCGGCCCTTTACTCTCTAGAGGATCCCATCATGATCTTCTGTCCGTACGTTCCCTAATAAAATTAACTCAGCCCAGCCTGGCTTTGTCCACTTCTTTTATTTAGTTACTTATTTCAGTATCAACTTGTGCCCTTTTGAGTCACCCTGCCAGTGCTGAGGGCGGTGACTGTGACCACGAAGGGATTTCTCACTGGAGTCTCGCTTTGTGCTCCACTGGTGCTTTGGGGCATCTTTTCATGTCTTCGCTGGTCGTTTGTATATCTTTATATTTTTTAAAGGAAAAATGTCTAAACAAGTCGTTTGCTTGATTGTTTTTCTATTTGCTTTCTGAGTCTTTTCTATATTTTGAATACTAACCCTATATCAGATATTTAATTTCCAAAATTGTTTTACCAATCTGAAGGTTTTCTCTTTACTTTGTGGATAGAGTCCTCTGATGAGCAGAAAATGTTCTTTTTTATGAAATCTCCTTTAACTCATTTATTTTTGTTGCTATATTTTTGTTGCTGTATCTATTGTAAATGCTAAGTCCAGAAGTATTACCTATATATTTCTATTTTTCCTAGAATTTTATTGTTTAATTATTACATTTATATCCTGTTATTACATTTTAATTTTATATTTGTAAACATTTTCGGGATATGGCCAGCTGTTTTGGGACTATGGGCATTTGGAAATCCAGTTGTCCTATCAGCATTTATTAAAGTGACTATAGTTTCCTCCATTGAATTAACTTAACACCCTTTCCAAAAACCCATTGACCATAGATGTGTGGCTTTATTTCTGGAATCTAAATTCCACTCTGGTGGTTAATCTGTCTATTATTGTATCAGTAACAGACTTTTGATTACTGAGTTCACCATGTATACATCCACATAGCTGGATTTTGTTTTGTTTTGATTTTTTCAAGATTGTTTTGGCTAGTTGGACTTCATTGTACATTCACATGTTTGAAGATTGACTTTTTAAAACAGTTTTCTTAACCTTTAATTCATATTCCTTACAATTCAATGGTCTAAATATATTTAAAAAGAGTGATGCAATCATCACCACTATTTTAGAATGTTTTCTTCATTCTTGTACCTATTATTAGCTTCCAATTTCCCCCCAACTTCCCGTATCATAACCCTAGGAAACTATAAATCTTATGAGCTATGGTTATGATCTCAATAGACTTACCTATCCTGGATTTCATAGAAAGAATATCTTACCCCACCTCCAACCCCACCCCACCCCCAAAAAGTCGCAACAGCATCAAAATGAATCATAGGAAACCGTCAATCTGGAAGAAAGCAGATAACAATAAAGACTAGCCCAAATTGAAAATGGTCCCCCAAAGAAAGCAAGTTATAAGATGTTCATTTAACCTAACTAGATTTGCAGCCGAAGCCCTGGTGGTGCAGTGGACCACAGCTAGGCTGCCAACGGCGAAGCCCATTCTGAGCAGCCATTCTGAGGAAGAGAGAGGAGGCCCAACCCCCAGAAAGATTTACAGCCGCATAAACCAAAGAGTCGCTCATAGAACAGATTCGGTGGCAGCGAATTTGAGTTTGATAACTGTAGTCATCCACTTTTCAAAGCCCTCTATCTAAGAGCACGGTTAGTCACAGTGGTCCAACGGGAATTCGCTGGAGGCTTAGTCCTCATGGAGACTCTGACAATGGCTTTGGGGCTTTCACTGTCATCCATTGCCTTTTACAAATTGGGTGCTGATGACTGACTTTTCTATTTCAAAAAAGACTGTTATGAGAATTCGATGAATATTTCATTGAATCTGTTGATTTCTTTGGATAAGAGTAACACTTTTATATTATTGTGCTCCAGCTCATGAATACAGAATGCCCTTCCTTAACCTGCTGCCGTTATTGTTGTTAAATTCCTTCACATGTGTTTTGACTCATAGCAAACATATGAACACTAGAACCAACGATGCCTGGTTCAGCACGACCCTCACCGTTGTCTGCTTCAGCCATTGTTGCAGTCAGTGCCAGTCTTTTCCTGTTTTGTTTTTCTCCGGAGCCTCTACTATACCAAGAATGATAGCCTTCTAAGGAGTATTTTAGATGTACTTCTTCCAAGAAAGATGAATTCATCCATCTGGAAAACCAGGGTATAAGCTTCATCAGCAACATCAGTTCAAATACGTGACGTCACTGTCTTTTTGAGATGACTGAAATACCACACCTCGGGCGCCAGTCGCACCTGAGTCCTCAGACGGACATCTTTGCTCCTGAGCCAAAAAGTGATAAACATCACTTTATGAGCATATTTGCCCAAATAGATACATTGTTTGATGTCTCGACTGCTGTTTCCAGGGGTGTTGCTTGTGGATATCCTTGTGGAAATCCTTGACAGCTGGACCACGTTCTCCATTTATGGTGATGATGATGCTTATTGGTTCAGTTGTGATGATTTTGTTCTCTTTATGCTGAGATGCCTTTGGTACTGAAAGCTTTAAACCTTGATTTTCCCATGGAAGGTGGTTAATCATACTCCATTCCTGATGCTGCAATTATTCTCATAAAGACCAGATTTTCAAATTATTCTCTCAGCATTCTGAATGAATTACTGTGGTGAAAGGATAGAATCCGGATGCACACCTTGTCTGATTTAAACCACCTAGTACCCTACCACCTTCTTGTCTATGTACAGGTTCCACATAGCACAATTAAATGTTCTGAAATTTTCCTTCTTGGCAATGTTATCCATAATTTTATATGAACCATGCAGTCAAGTGACTTTGCATAAGGAATAAAACACAAATAAACATCTTTCTGGTATTCTTTACTTGAGCCAAGGTCCATCTGAGATCAGAAATCATATTCCCTCATTTCACATTCTTTGAAAAATGCAGCTTGAATTTCTGATAGTCTCTGGTCAGGGTGCTGCCATACTGTTTTCTTTTTCCCCTCCAAACGGTTTTATTGGCACATAATTTACATATTATATAATTCAGTAATTCAATTGTTCGATCATATCAAGGGGAATTGTGCAATCACCCACTATCGCCAGCAAAATTTTACATCTATGTAATATTGTCCAATAATTACCACAATTTTGGAACCCTTTTATGTTGAATAAGCTTGTGCATGGACCTCTTCCAGATAGTTGGCCAGTCTGTCTATGCCAAATTTCTTGCCTTAGACAAGTGAGAGCTTCCAAGGCCGCATGCACTTTTTGAAATATCTTTTGCTGTGTCAATTCCTGGAGCCGTGTTTCCTAGGCAATGCTCTGGGTGCAGCTTGGACTTCTTGCATCAGGATCACCAGTTCTTAAACTTCCCTGCAGTACTGGAGAAGCTCTACTTGATCATGTTGTATAATCCTTTAAATATATTTTTGGATTCCATTTCCTAGTATATTTGTATTTTTGCTTTTATATGCCTAAGGGATATTGGACTGAAAATGTCTCTTTTGCTCTTTTGTGTTATATTTGTCTGACTTTGATAGCAAAGTAATTCTAGCCTCATAGAATGAGTTTGGAAGTGTTTGCTCCTCTTCTATATTTGCATACATTTAGGAGGGTCTGTGTTAATTCTTCTTGAAATATTTGATAGAATTCTCCAGGAAAGCTATCTGATTTAGAACTTTTCTTTTGGAGAAATTTTTTTTTAATTCTGATAGTAATTTGCTGAGAACTTCTCATTCTACTTGAGCCAGTATAGAAAGTGTATTTGTTTTCAGAAATTTGTACTTTGCATCTAGGAGATATTATCTAATTTACTGGTTTATGATGGGGAACCAGGACATTATTACTGAAGTAATGGAGCAAAACATTGGTTGTACTTCAAGGATGTCAGCACTACCCACCAAGTGATTGTGGAATCAGGGAAACCAAGGTATTATGGCAGAATACACTCCAATGATTCTACTTCCCTCATCACTATCCTCATTATCCTCCTCTGCAAAATGGGAGTTCAAAACCTACAAAGTGTCAGCTGAACCTTTTGTCTTGGAATTGCCTTTACTTATAGCACTTATGATACCCGAATTGGGTCTGGCATTGTAAATATCATGACAAGGACTGAACATTCCCTTTAAGTAACTAACAGTTCAGCAGGATTGAAAATTCAGTAAATATAAAAATTATGATTCAAAGGAATGTATGCTTCAGTACCAGATTCTGCAACAGAGTGTTAAGGAGTGTCTAATCTCTATGTTTGCTATTTTCAGGGAAACGGATTTGTGTGGGAGAGGGCCTGGCCCGCATGGAGCTGTTCTTATTCCTGACCACCATTTTGCAGAATTTTACCTTGAGGCCTGTGCTCAACCCAAATGAAATTGACACCACCTCAGTTGCAAGTGGGCTCGTGTCTGTGCCACCCTCTTACCAGCTCTGCTTCATCCCTGCAAGGACAGATGTCTGACTGCTCCTACCCCGTCATCTGTAACCTCCTCTGCTGGGTGCTGTGCCTTGCTTTCCCCGTGCCAGGGATGCCTCTTTGAGTTCTCCTTTCCACTTCTCTGTTTGCCTTAAAATAAACCCAATTCAAGTAAATTGGATTCTGATCAGGGAAGTTTTCTGTGTTTTATGGCATACATTTATTTAGTTCACCATACTCTAAAATACTGTTACTGGCCACCACCTGCCTTAATAGTTACCTGTTATTACTGGGTTATCCCTCTGCAACAGAGTAAACATTATTTTCTTTTCCATTGTCATCAAGTCAATTTTAACTCACAGTGAAATTGTGTGTGCCAAAGTAGACCTGTGCAACATAGGATTTTCAATGGCTGATTGTCAGAATAGGTCAATTTGCCTATATTTGAATTTGAACCGTCAACCTTTAGGTTAGTAACTGAGTGCTTAAACATTTTTACCACCCAGAAATACTCCAACAGAAAAAAGGCACTAATCGTTTGTGACTTGATGTGAAAACAGGGATACACAACGTATCACTGTTGGATACTCCTAGTAAAACTCTTAGAAGAGGTAAGATTCTGGGTGTCCATGTGTTTGATCCCTTAGAAAAGTTTTTTCAAACAAATGCCTGCAATGAGTAATGACTTTAGGTGGTTGCTTTTAACTGTAATGAAGAAAGTAGGAAATAAAAGAATGCGCTCTGATCTTCACATTTCCAGCACAAATGCCACGTAGATGACATGAAAGTTTCTGGATGTGTGGATCGGCCCACCAGCTTGCTAATCTCTTGGCCTCAGCTCTTACCCAGCCTTACCACGAAAGTGTCTTTTCTGCTCCATGTGCCTAGACCACGTATGTCACTCTCAGAAAGACTCAAGGCACAAATAACATGTCTCTGAGCCTCAGTTTTCCTTTATGAATTCCTGGCGATGGAGACTGTTCTTTCTTAAGAATAAATGTTCTCTATTATGACGTATAAGTTGTGATTCCCTCCAGGAAAGGGTTAAAGGAAGTCACTGATACCAGACTCAAAGGCAACTGAGAATGTAATAAGAATTTGAGTGATAGGGAAGGGTTTTGAGCCTTGGGTGATCAACCAGGAAGCTATAACTAGAATCAAGATTGAAACAATATCATGAAATAGGCAAACAGACTATAGGATACTCTGTATATCCATGGAATTGCCCAAGGGAAGCTTTGTACCTGAATGGAAAAGGTAGATGAAATTCCCGAGTGTGTAGAACAGAGATGTTCAAAATTATATTCCCCAGATATTCTTTGATAAAGGAAAGATGTTAAATCTCTGGGTTGCTATGCAGTCTGTGATTCTGCTCATCAGGAGAGACGGGTGGTGGTTCCATCATGTCTGTCACCCGGGGAAATGAAAGTATGAGAAGTGCCGGATTCTGAAGCCACAGGGTGATAGTTAAAGCTCCGTGTAACCCTAAGTGGGCCAGGATTCACAATAGTTTGGCAGTTATTGTGTAGTAATCACCCAAAAGAACATGCTTAGCATATCTTAAGCCAAAAGAACTCAAGAAAAAAGTCAAGACTCGAGTTGCAATATTGAAAGATTCCATGGGTTTCATTTTGAACAATACAAGAAGAATCAAAAGACGATGGAAAGAACATGATGGAAAGAGTCACTGTACCATTTCAAGAGGTGGTAGAAGATCTAGAACCAATGGTACTGAAGGAAGAACTTCTAGCTGCATTGAAGGCATTAGCAAAAAGTAAGGCTCCAGAAATTGGTGGAATGTTGATTGAAATGTTTCAAGAAACTAATGAAGCACTGGAAACACGCACTTGTCTATGCCAAGAAATTGGGAAGAGAGCTACCTGACCAACTGTACACAAATCAGAGAACAATGGTTGCAGCAGTCCATTGACAGGCGAGAAAATCAGCTCAAATTCACAAGAGTATGTGGAACATACATTGCTCACATCAGATGGAGCTTAGCTTATGTGGGTTTTATTGACTACGCAAAGGCATTAAACTGTATGGATCATAACAAACCATGGATAGTATTGAGAAGAATGGGAAATCTAGAACACTTCGTTGTGGTTATGCAAAGCCTGCACATGAATCAAGAGGCAGTTGTGAGAACAGAACAAAGAAATGATTTAAAATCAAGAAAGATATGCAGAGGGTTGTATCCTCTCACCATGTTAATTTAATCTGTATGTTGAACAAATAATCATGGACGCAGTAACAGGATTGGAGGACAACAGTTTACTCACCTGCAGTATGCAGCTATCACAAGCTTGCTTGCTGAAACTGAGGAGGATTTGAAGCACTTGCTGATGAAGATCAAGAATTGAAGCCTTCGGTATGGATTACAACTCAATGTAAAAAAAGCCAAATTCCTCCCAATTGGACCAATAGTTAACATCCTGATAAACAAAAAAAAAGAGTGGAGTTGTAAAGGACTTCATCTTACCTGGATCCATAAAACAATGTTCATGGAAAGAGCAGTCAACAGATCAAAAGACACATTGCACTGGGTAAATCTGCTACACAAGACCTCTTTAAAGAGTTAAAAAGCAATCATGTTACTTCGAAGACTAAGATGTGCCTGACCCAAGCCATGGTATTTTCAATTGCCTCATATGCATATGAAAGTTGGACTGAATAAGGAAGATCGAAGAAGAATCGAAGCAGCTTCCCGACACGATCACTGAAGACAAAATGGGTGCATAAGCAAACAGTGAAGAAAACTGATGGTACCCGGCTATCCAAAGATATAGCATCTGGGTCCTAAAGGCTAGAAGATAAACAAGCAGCCATCTAGCTGAGAAGCAACAAATCCCACATGCAACAAGCACACCAGCCTGTGTGATCATGAGGTATCAAGGTTTCAGGTATCAGGTATCAAAGACCCAGAACAAAAAATCATATCAATGTGAATGAGGTGGAGTGCAGAGTGGAGACTCAAAGCCCATCTGTAGACAACTGGATATCCCCTTACAGAAGGATCACAAGGAAGAGGCGAGCCAGTCAGGGTACAGTATAGCCCTGATGAAACATACAACTTTCTTCTAGTTCTTTAATGCTTCCTCCCCACCCCCGCTATCATGATCCAATTCTACCTTACAAATTCAGCTAGACCAGAGCATGTACACAGTACAGATGAGAGCTGGAAACACAGGGAATCCAGGACAGATAACCCCCTCGGGACCAATAATGAGAGTAGTGATACCAGGAGGAGAAGGAGAAGGTAGGGGGAGAAAGGGGAACTGAACACAGTGATCTACATATAACCCCCTCCCAGGGGACAGACAACAGAAAAGTGGGTGAAGGGAGACATTGATCAGTGTAAGACATGAAAAAAATTTTATAAATTATCAAGGGTTCATGAGGGAGGGGGTGGGAAATGAAGAGCTGATACCAAGAGCTCAAGTAGAAGAAAATGTTTTGAAAATAATGATGGAAATAAATGTACAAATGTGCTGACACAATGGATGTATGTATGGATTGTGATAAGAGCTGTATGAGCCCCCAAGAAAATGAAGAAGAAGAAGAAGCAGCCAGAATGCTACCTAGAAACAAAAATGGCAAGATTTCATCTTGCATACTTTGGGCATATTATTAGGAGAGTTCAATCCCTGAAAAAGAGCATCATGCTTGGTAAACTGAAGGGACAGGGAAAGAGAGGAAGCCCCTCAACAAGATGGATTGACACAACCATTGCAATAACAGGTCCAAACATAAGAAGTATTGTAAGGATGGTGCATGACCAGGTGGTGTCTAATCCCGTTGTACTTAGCATTATTGTAAATCAGAGGCCACTCAATAGTACCTAGCAACAATCACCTCCATGAGGAGATCTGTTCTGTCCAGCCAATCAATTGAAAGGAAGTTTCCTCAGGGGAGTGATCAACTATTAATATTAATGGACAATTTCAAGAACACCTGTGCATTTTACTGGGTATTGGTCCTGCAGCTGGTTCATCATCTGATCTTCAGTTCTTTGACCTTGAATCAGGCCCCTGTCATTGTAGCTGCCAAATTGAGCTCACTGGCCTCCGCAGCTTTGCCTGTTGCCACTATTGCTTACCTCTTTGTACTCATTTCCCTGAAGGCTCTCGCATGCTTCATTCTGTTTTAA